CTTCTACCAATAAAGATATTTAGAAACACTCACCATTCGGGATTTTGTTGTTGCTTCTTGTACAACAGCTTTCATTATCTACTTTTACTGAAGATTCCTTTAAATTCTGTGATCGACAAGCTAAAGTTGAAGGTTCTACCTTTTTTTCTGTAAAACTATTATGGCTATCACTGCTGATACCTGCTTTCATTTCTGGCATATGTGAAAGGACATCAGATGTTGAAGGTGCATGTTCTAGGTGCTTCTGCAGTTCAGGAGTACTGGCAATTTCCACTTCTGCCTTAGAAGAAGCCTTTGTAGGTAAGCACTCCTTAGGAAGGCCATTCAATGGTTGTGGGCCAGATTCCAATCTGTTTTCCTGATCAGTGTTTGTCTTAGGCTGGGTACAGCTACTTTTTGGCTCACTCAGAATTTTCAAGTCTCCAGTTCCAATCTGAGAAGACTTCGTGGAGAGCAACTCCGCTTTGCAGACAACATCTGGTTTTGTTCTCAGCATTTCAGCCTTTGTATTTAGACAGGAAGAAAGTTCTTCTGGTAAACTCTGCTTATGACATCTGAAAAAGATAATATAGAAAACTAGCATCCTGGTCTCTTTTATCTCTTTAGTACCTTTCAAAACTCATTTGTTTGGTTCCCTGAGGCAACCAGTGTGAAAGAGAAAACTGCTTAATGTTAGAGAATTTAGGATAGGTTTCCCTCAAAACAAACTTAATATCATATGGATGCACAGAATATGCTCTGTAGATAAGATCAGTGGTTTTCAAGTGTCAAAACTAAAAGTTTGCAGGGCCAGTTCTGAAAGTTTCTTTTTTTTTTTTTTTTCAGAGAAACCTCTGCAGAATTCTCTTTCTTATATATACAAGATTACGCTTGAATTTAAAAGATAAAACTAGCATTCTTGCTGCTTGCCAAGACTCAGAAATTCAATCTTATGGTAGATAAATGTAGCAAGATAAAAATTTTAAAATATATATGTTTCTTAGAAATGTTAGAAACCCCCTCAAAGATATTCACACAAAATGTAATTAAAAACTAACAACAAACTACCAGCAGCACAAAATCCTGCCCTGCTATGAACATTTAACCAGCTATAACAGTGAATAATTTCATTCCTGTTTGTTCAGTGATCAGGACCCAAGGCAAACCGAATAGCTGACTTAATGATTACTTGCTTGTTCACAAGGATTCAGTATTTTCCCCACACATCTTACTAGGGATATTCTTGAAGAATTTTTGTTTCTTCGAAATTCATCCTAAAGTTCTTCCCCCCAGCAAAATGCAAAGCCTTTTTTTTTCCTATTGTACTTCTTTATTCCTGCCTCTAACAAAGGATTTTTCATCCTGGAAAAGAATTTCTCATTTAAGAACTCTGATTAAAAATCCTTGCTTGGATGTCACTGAACTTCCTACTGCTCCACTTTTCTATTTTGAAGATGGCTCCTCCTTCCATCTGACTGCTATGTGGCCATCTTCCAAGCTAACCCAGGCCGCCAACTTTTCTCCCAGTGAACCAGTGTGTTCAGCCACTCTCCCACCATTTTGCAGTCGTCTTCCAAAATCTACTTTTCTACACCACAGTCTCTCTGACCCACATCTTAAGTCTCTATCAACTGCCCATGCAGACCACCCTCTTCTCCCAAAAGAGATCCTTCCCTTAAAACCACTCTGTCAACCTTGTACCTACTACAAATTTCTGGTTAAACTTTATATTTCTTATTCATTTTCTTCCTCTATAAATTAGTAACAATACCAACTACATCTATTATTGCTACCTCATTTCTGTTAGTCTTAGAATCTTCTCTGTTGCATTTCTCACCTATACTTGGGTCAACTCATGTCTAGGCTGATGGGAATCCCTCTGACCTCAGTCTTCTACATACAATCTGTTCCCTTTTCTCTGAAAGCACACACCTATTCTGCAAATGTCTGTAGTATTTCCACTGATCCTTCTCATTATATTATCAAAGCAAAACAGCTTCTCTTTTCTCATGCCCCCTCCCCCTTCACTTCTATACCATTTTCCATGCTGTTCTCTGTGTCTTCTACCCTTTTCAACACCTCTGAAGGCACCTATCAATCTCAATCTTTCCTTTGGGTAACTTCAGTGAAAAACCTCCCTGGACAACCTGAAGAATAAACCATGACTAAAGTGCAATTTTTATTATTATGATTAAACTTCTTTAACAAACACTACTCACCCTTGAGGAATTTTTGCTCCAAGGTTAGGTGGAGAGTTGGCAGCCTGGGGAGTACTTTGCTGTCTTGGGTCCTTACTAGGTGGAGTTGCTGCAGTACAACCAAGGAGTATCTCCTTAAAAACTGTTGTGGGAACAGACTGTACAGGACACATACTGGGAGAGGCCTAAAAGATACCAAATCAACAGATATTAAAAGGAAAGTCTGGGGGAGAAAGGGCAGGGGAAAACAAAAAAGGAAAGTCCCTAGTCAAGAAATTACAAAGTGCTAGCAAAATGCAAGATAATTTGCTTGGTTTAACACTAAATAAGCACAACACCATCACCAAATAAAAAGGACAGTAAAACAAGTGATAAATCACAAAATTAAGGACTCATACCTGAACGCTATATATAAATCACTCCAGTTTTTTCACAAAATTTAAGTCTTTCTATAAAAGATCACAAGTATATCTTTTTCAGATCTCTGAATCATTATGTCAGGAAATTGCAGTCATGTGGCAATTACGTTAATAATGCAATGCATACAAGTGAACATTTAAGTGACAGTCTCTAATGGTGGCAGCTTCACATGCATTCATTTTGACATGACTTCAGTGCCCACCACGCACTTACTGCATAGACTGGCAGGAGACCAGACCACATAGGACTCTTGTAGGCAGTGGTGCCTACTGGGTACCAAGATAAGCCTTTGCAATGCAATAAAGGGTGAGGACATGGTTCTTGCTCTTATGTGGCTCATCAAGTCCCAAAGGTCATCCAAAGCTGCAAAAAATATCAAGTCATGACGGGCCTGTGGGACAAAGTTGGGACACCTGTCCCCCTTCATTTTTCATGTATTTTATCTTCACAAAAATATAAATATGAATCTACTTTTTACCAGTTAATACTATCCACAAAAATAAACTTCCCACTATGAAATAAAAAAGAGATAAACTCAAGACAACTAAACATACTATGGCTGAATTAGGTGAAGTCACCTCACCCATCTTCACCTCTTTGCTTTAAGTCATGCGCTTCAAGTCACGTACCTTTCTCAATAATCTCTTTCACTCACAATGACCTTTGTGTTTACCTTACCACCAAATCTAAACTTGAAGAATCTCCACAGTTTCTTCATCTTCTAGTTAGTAACTTCTAAAATTTGATGCAGAACTTCCCTTAGTAGGTTTTTTAAAACCTCACAATTCTGAATACATTTATATGTAGTCTATTCATGAATCTTTTTCCCATTTACTCTGATAGCCTTTCAAGGACTATCTAGTATATGCTATGTAGAAATATCTGAAAATTAAAAAGAATTTAATCACTATCAGAGTTTTGGCATAGCTTCAAACTATTTTTAAATACTAATTGTCTGATCACATATTATACTGTTTTAGTCAACTCAATTTTGGTTAAATATTAGCTTAGTGTTCTCCAGAAGGTATATGTTTGTTTTGGGTTTGTTTTTGTTTTTAGGGCGGGGGGGCGGGTAGGAACTTTGGCTATTTTAAGAATACCTTTGGGATGATCAACTTTACCTCTCTAGATCTCTGTTTCCTAATCCTTTAAATGAGAAAATTAGTTAAGTTTATTCCTAAAGTTTCTTTTGACTATAATACTTTACAATTCTCTGGTAATCTGAGGTTAGCCTCCCAAAGTTTAATTGCCAAATCATATCGAAATGCTTATCCAAGGTTCACTTTTACCAAGGATCTTTCCTCATATCGATCACCTTTCTTATTTTGAATATGTTTAGAGTTGATGCACTAACATCTTTCTTTAAATTAGTCTGACAACATCCTTAACAATTTGGATTACAAACCTAAGCATAAATTTTTACTCTGTACAACATCCATCAAGCTGCTCATGTCAAAAAAAAACCCCTCCATCTCTCTCATTTCCCATATCCAATCAATGAACCAATAAATCCTGCCTCCATTTCCAAAGTATTTATTAAATCTATCCATTTCTTTCCATGATACCATCTTTCCCCTAAACTATCCATCTCCTACCTGGCCTGACTTCCTTCTATTCTTGCTGAATCCTCTGCCTCCTACTCAAAATCTATTCTACCACACGGCAATCTTTATAAAATGTAAATCAAATAAGATCATGGCACTCCACTGCCTACAAAAATCCCATGTGGTCTAGTCTCCTGCAAACTCCCACAGCCCCACACACTCATCTCTTTCGCTCTCCCCCTTGCTCACAGTACTCCAACTACACTGGCTTCCTTTCTGGTCTTCAAACATGCTAAGCCCTTTCTTGCATGGGCCTTTGTACTTGCTATTCTCCTGCCTGCACAGTTTTCACTGGTTGGTTGGCTCCATCCTTTCACCCTCAAGTTTGTTAAACTGTCATCTCCTCAGAATCTCTGATCACTCTTTCCAAAGCTGCGTCCTATAAGCTACCCCCTTACTCTTTATCATATTCCTGTGTTTACACCTTTGATAGCACTTATCACACCATGAAAGTACATTTATTTATTGTCAGTCTCCTCACAATGGATGTATACTCCTTATGGACAGAGGCCCACTGTTACACCTCATAAAGCCAGTCATATGGCAGATGCTCAATAAATAAGACTGGTGGAATGAAGGTATGAAAAAATGAATGCTGTCAGCATCTAATATTTTAAAATAGCTATAAATATATAAGTCTTATGAGTTACCTGAAGAGATAGGCATTAAGGCTCACCACTATAGATCAGTGTCTGGCATGTATTAAACATAAAATAAATATTTGCTGGGAGGAAGGATAGAGGGATGGATGAATAGATGGAAGGAAGGAAGGAAAGAAGGAAGCAGGGAGAAGTCTGTTTTACAATGGTGATTCACCACACCAAGGAAAGAATCTGGAGAGGAGAGGCAACAGTGGTTAAGAATATTGGATTTTGGTGTTAGACCTTGGTTTGAAGTCAGTCTCTGACATCTCCTAGCACGTTGCTCACATTTGTAAAATGAGAGTAATAAAGCATACTTTATAGGGTTGTGCTTTACCATAGTGCCTGGCACATAGTAAAATCAATTAGTTTTAGAGATGAGCAGTTTTCCCAGTTCTGTCACCATGTTATAATTAACATAACTTAGGGTGTTCTTCCTTGGAGGAACTGAAGTATATCCCTCTACAACTTTCCTAAGGGTGAGCTCAACACGGATAGGACTCCAATTCCCAATCCCATCTTCACGTGCACAGCTCTGCCCTGGCCTCTGACTTGACAAAGGGTCAAAGTTTCTTCTTACCTGAAGAGTTTTCCCTGAAGGTCTTCTATACCAGTCATGGCAATAGTTCCTCCCTGCCAGCAGACGGAGATAATATAATTGAGTGTATGATCGTATTCTAAAAACGACACTGCTGGCTCACAATCCTTGGCAGATTCTTTCCCAATTAACCAAGCAACATGATAACTCCGAGGAATAATAGTCTGCTAGGCAGAGAAGACCTTCAAGGAGCCAGATATCACTGGCAAACAGGTTTATCTTAACCGAACATATCCATCAAAGCAGCCAAGAGTCTTGCCTACCTAATCCCAAATGTCTTCCAAAGACCACCCTAAAAGTAAACTCTGTGCCAGTCCAACACATCTGGGAAATGCAAACACGGTGAGAATCATGCCAAGTGTTACTGTACTCACCTTTCACTCACGCAATTAACTTAACTCTCTTTCTTTACCTCTCCAGCCCTACTGAAATCTAGGCTAGGCCAGTGTTTCCAAACTTGTCTGAGTATAAGAACGACCCAGGATGAAAAAGAATATTTACTGATATGGAAAAATAATCGCAATATACTGTAAGAGAATCAAAGAGGCTACAAGAGAATATGGTTTTTAGTTTTAAAAAAACAAAAAACAAATAAACATAAATAGGCCTCCATGATATATAGTGGAAAAAAAGAGACAGGATGGAAGTATTCCAAAATGTTAACAGAGTCTCTGAGAAGTATGACTATAAGTGACGTTTCTTTTCTTTACTATACATTTCTAGGTCAACCAAAAATTTTAAAATGAAAATAACTTCAGTAAGCAAAAATTTTCTAAAAGTTCTAATACGCAGGTAAAAATCTACCTCCTCCAACTTCCTTCAGAATGAGAAGACTATAAAGTTTAAGAGCTGCAACAGCCATTTTTAAAACACTGAATTTAGTTTCTTACTTTAGATGCAGAAGAAACTTATCTCCAGGCTAAAGTTCAGACTTACTTTTTTAATACCTTCTGATTGTGCCTCATATCAGTTCAACAGCATACAACTTTGTTGAGCATGGATAGTCTGGACAACACGCTGAGAAAGAAAAAGGTCATGCTGCCTGCTCTACAAGAGTTTGAGTAAGGCAGAGAGAAGCACATTATATGTGTATGTATTACCACATTTTATAAGCATCTCCTTGAAGGCTACAAATTTACTTGCTCAATCACCTTTCTTATCGCTGATAAACTTGACACTTTGAAGAACTGGCACCTTCTCCCACAGGAGGTCCCCAATGACTTCAGTTCTGCCTGCAACACAGGTTGATTCCTCCACTATCCAATAGGATATGCCATTCCTATTCCCTGACCCCTCTCCCCAACACATCCTGAGGCTCTCCTTTTCATCACACCCCTGACCATTTATACTGATGCATTCACCATAACAGGCAAAACCCAACCAACTTCTCCAGACTGATCTTTACTACCTCTAGCCTAGATTGCTAATAATTTCTCCAATGTCAAAACCTGATAGGTTAGTATTTTACCCTATTCCTCCCTCAGCTTCTAATACTGTGGATTACCTTTACAATATCCTCTCTGAGCTTAACTGTAAGATGCAATAATCACTTGCTTGGCATCCTTTTTATAACCCTTACTATATTACTTCCCCAGGGCCTTACTATCTGTTACCTTCTAGACCAGGGATCCCTATTCCCCCTGGCTCAGCCCCTATGTATACTAGGAGACTACACAATGTCATAAATAATCACCTGACCATGTCACTTGAGCTTTCTTAGCTAGAACTATCATATTCTATGAAGCAGACATTCCATTTGTTCTACTTATATTATTAGGTAGATTCCCGTTTCCTCAGTTCTAACACCTAGTCTTCCACCAAATCCAATCAATGCTGCCTCCTAAATAGTTCTTCATCTCCTTAGCTACTGCCCCACTTCAAGCCTGTCTATGATGGGCAATCCCACTAGCCTAACCAGCGCTCATTTCTTTTCTCACCTCCTTCCCTCATCCATCATCTATAAAGCTAAAGTCAGTCTCCTGAACTTAAAACCCCTGAACACCTCAACTCCCCAACCCAATACCCTTCTGCAGGGTAAAACCCAAAATTTCTTTCTATCTTTTATCCTGCCTCTCTCTCTCTTCCCGTGCCCCAGCCACAATGAATCACTTGCCCTTTAGCAAACAGGACACGTCCCCTCTGAGAGCTTCTACCCAGGCTGCTTCCTGAGGAACCTGCACTACTCCTGCTCAGAGCACTCCCCCAGAGCTTGTGGGAGCCCTGTGCAAGTTTGTCTCCCTCCCCACACTGTGGACACTGAGACAGGAACTCCAGAGATCTCTCAGTCTCCAGTACCAACAATCCACCACCCAGTCAGTGCTCAATATAGTATCGCTGGTTTCTTGGGACAGATTTATTTGAAATGACTTTGTAAACTTTAAGGCAAAAATGAAAGGTAGTAATACTAATTTCCATAATTACCTCTTCATTCTTTTCTCAACAACCTGAGCCTCCACTCAAGAGGTCAAGCCTATACCCTTGGAAGGAAGACAGAAGTTTTAGACACCTTGGTTTACAAAGCTTTTGATGAAGTATGAAAGTTCCTTTGCCTGTACATAGGCAAAAGACTCAGGAAAGCTGATCAACCATCCTAGCTACATGGACTCTGAAGTATTTGTGCAGCACAGCGCTTGCTCTCGTTCTAGTTGATGCTACAGTCCGATCTACCCTTGACCCAGAACTCTAGATTTAGTCATTGACCCTGGCTCACTCCCCATGCCATTTCTCCTTGCCCTGCTCCCCCAGATCTCAAGGTTCTCTCTCGAATATTGCCAACAATCTTAACAATATTAGCTGGGTCAATGTTAAAATTCTAACTTCCTGGAGCAGAACAATATAAAGGTGTTTTTAATAATACAGGAAACTATGCATGTAACAAGTACATTTGAATTCCTAAGGTGTGAAAAAGTTATTTGTACTGTAATAGGTCCTAATGATTGAGAAATTAAAAGAGAAATAGTCTTGGTCCAAACCATAAGTATTTCAGAAAAGAATTAAATCCGGTATGTGAACTCACCATGGCATTCATAGAAGCCTACACTTTTCTGAGCAGAAATTAGTAATGGCAAATCAACCATCTCCTTTGCAAAACCGGTACCTTTGTTTACCCAATAATAAATGAGCAATCAGACGTCCTATTTCAACACCCCGTCTACTTGGAATTCTAAGGTTCCTCCCCTCTTTTCATGCCAGGCATTGACAAATACAACTCAATTTACCTTCAAGAAATTGTCAAATCTATTGAGAATCTCTGGCAAATACAAAAACATGAAACTTTTTTTTTTACACAAAAAATAGTGAACCAGAAACTTATATTATCTCCATCTGCTTGAGTATAGAAATTATGGCCAAGATCTGGAACTATCAAAGAAGAGCAGAGAAGACAGCTATATAACTACAAAAAAAAAAAAAAAACAAAAAACACCTGGCTGTGCAATGTTAGAATTAAGTAAAGCTTTACACATATGACAAAAATAAATCAAGGTTACCTCAGAACAAGATTTCACTTGTTTGGAAACCAGGCTTCCATTATTCTCAGAAGACTTGCGTTTTACAGCTGTGATTCTTGTAGAATTACCTAAAATATTTAATAATGGGTAAGTTGGCTTCTCTGTTTCTCTTAATGTGAGAAGAAACAGGAAAGAGGGGAAGGAAAAGGAAGAATACTTTAACCAAACGATGTATCCTTACCACATGTCACAAAGTTATCATGTACAACTTCAACATGAATCAGTGATGGATCGACAATTTTCAGTGCTGGAATCTTAAAAATAAATAGAACAAAGATATTGGAAAATCAAAAAATGCTCAAGAATATACTGAAAGTCAGCCCCATTAACATGACAATAGGGGCTTCTTAGTAATCATTTTTTTTAAAACTGTGATTATTTCTATTTCTACTCTAATATTTTATTATAAAATAATAAAGGTATTTAGCTCCTAGATCATAAATTCTTGTACAGTTATCTTGCCCCATCAACTTATGTTACAGGCAGTTATCATTGTCTTTACCTCCTCACAGCTGACTTGAAGAGTTTTTGATGCTGGGTTTCCATTTACAACAGTTGCTGAAAACCATTGAGTAGATGGATCCAAGCTATAAATTTTTACTTCTGAACCAACTAAGTTTTTGTCACCTAAAAAAAAAAAAAAAAAAATTCTTAGAGCAATCTCCATTATCTTCCAGTAGCACCACCATCTAGGACAATCTTTTCCTAAGTCTCTAATAAAAATGCAATCAATAAAAGTAAATATTAAAAGAATCACTATACACATGACAGATATTTCAGCAAAGCTAGGAGAAAATTTAAACTTTTTATTTTAAAAATCTATTTTCCTATGAATTTATTTTAGAGTGGTAATATATTTACTATAGCATGTGGTCTCAGACCACGTAGTATCAGACAATTCATCAAGACCTAACTCACTGTCCTGTGTCCTATGTAGAGTTGTAGAGGAACCAAATTTAGAACCTCATAAGAAATGCTAAATCTGATTTAAAAAAAAAAAACAAACTTAATGATTGTAGAAACTCACAGTAAATGGGAAGGTAAGGAGTACAAAATTAATAATGCCTTGTCAATTTTATAGGGCTGAAATTCCAAATATCAAATTCCATGTCAAAATACAGCTGAGCTTTTTAAATATCTACTTTACTTTTATAGTTTCACATAATTCCTAAATTTTCCAAATTTCAGAGGCTTCAGACTATATTAAGACCTTAAGGCATCTAGTTGTATAAGTAAAGCAAAAAAGGAAAAATTTTTTTAATTTTTAAATTACTTTAAAAAAGTTTTTAGGAAAAAAAAAATTTCAATGAGAGAATGAGAGGGGCTAAACCCTAGCTTCTTATGAGCTAATCATGGGTCAACTCATGAACTATCACCAACAGATAATCCATATACCTTGTAAAAGATGGCTTTCATCTAAATGTTTCACAATCAAAGCTTGAAATTCTTTACTGACGTCCTGATTATCCGTAAGAGAAAGTCGAAGATTGTTTACATCCTGAAAAATGAAAGATCATTACGTGTTAAGATAACAAAAAGAGTTGTTTAAATTCCAGTGGATATTTCAATTGGTTTAATCAGATGGGTTAAAGTAGTGTCAACTAGCCATCTAATGGCACCGTACCTTTGCAATTTCAGTAAAAGGGACAGGTCAAAAAATCAGAAACCATTAAGTGATCACAGGTATAGGGCAGACTGAAGTGAAAGTTACCCCAAGCTCCAAGCATGAGAGATATTAAGAGTGACTCAAAGTGTAATTTTAAACATAACTTTGGCTATGGGAAAATATTAAGCAAACTAAGCTGGTCAATCCAAGTAAAAAACACTCTGTATCCCAAACATTGGGGAAAAGGAAATCACAGATCCAAATCCAAGGGGCAAAAGACACAGATAAGACACACAGGAGACAGATGTATATGTTCAATTCAATGAAATTGCTGTTCTGGGTTTTTTTCCCCCCCTTAATTTTTTTTTCATTTTATTTTTAAGCACTACTTAACACACTGCATGCTACACAATACACTGCAGAACCTTCTAGCAGGAACAGATCACCATAACTGAGTTATTTTCTCATCAATCAGGAAAATGCTTCCTTAATCAACGTTTTCCAAACCCTCTGACATATAGTAATGATTAACTCCAGAGATGTGCATGTCCCTTTCCATCAAACACCACTTATAAGAACAATGGGCAACCCTTCTTTCCTTGCCCCAATTAGTGAACCTGTGGATGTACCCATCGGCCACTTTGGGGATGAGCAAGCATGTGGCCATGATGGCAATTCCAGGGACAATCACGAAGCACACCTCAGAATGGTTACCTAGGCTAAAACCCTACTTCTAGGCCCCTTAATGGGGCCTGGCCTTCTGCTTCCTTCCCAGTAAGAAATTGCTATTTTTAATGAACAACTCATTTCACATTGTTTCATTTAACCTAACTAGATTTCAAATGCATTCTTCTTTACAAAAAGTAAGGGAGGTGGGAAGGACAAACAGAAAATCTGAATGAATAGCTAAGGCTTCAAGTAAGCCAGTTTTGAAACACTCAATTCTTGGCAGCAGCTCCATTCTTGGCACTATGCCAGAGTCTTCTGGCTTTGTGTGCACACCCAGTTATGATAAATGTATACAGAAACTGTCAATAGCAATAACCTGCCAAACCAAATTCTAGCAGGGCAAAGAAAAAACAGTGCTAAACACAGAAGCCCTTCCAATATCAGGTCTTTATGCTTTTCTTCCACTGTGAAATAGAGACAGGCCAAAAATGGATCATTCGTTTCTCCCTCTGGGAAGGATACCTAGTCTCTCAGAGTGGGGGGCTATGTTGGAAAAATGCATTTCTTTAGTCAAGTAACACTAGGAAAACCTAGGGTCTCCATGAAAGCTCAACATTAATTACCAGAATGGGTTTGTTTTGGTTGTCTTTCTCATGCGTTTATTGCCACTGCAATTTCAAAATATCTAATTGTATTCTCCAACTCTTACAAGACAGCACATTAATGGAGAGAGCCACTAAGGGCTCTTCAATACAGTAGAATAATTTTAGTCCGCCTAGGAGAATTTTAGTACTCAACAAAAGCACCAGATACTTGCCCAAATACCTTGTCTTTTTCTTACTCACAGATAACTGAGTCAAATTCTATTTAAAGGCAGACCTTAAGTTTCAATCCAACTTTTGGCAACTTGCATATGCCAAATGATTTTTCAGGTGCTCTGTGCATTATTTAGAGCAAGCATCCTATTGGGGTAATCACATCCCCAACATGGAATTTCATACAGTAGAAGTCTGACATGATCACCCATATCTACAAGATAATGCCCTAATAAGAACTAAACTTTCACCACTATTATCATCAGTAAAAGTTAAGTGCACACATTATAGTCCCCCCAACTAATTACGTGTTAATATTAATGACAACATTCACACTGATGGCCCACAGTGCATCTTCCTCAGAACAAATATAAACTTACCAATTAAGATTTTTTTTTTCAATCTCAAGAAACAAAACTGAGAGTTCTACTTTAACTGAAAAGTTTGGACACATGAAAGATGTAAATTCAGATAGCAATGTGAAGATGTAAAAACTACGCCATCACTCTGTAAAGCAAAATATCTACAACTCCCCTGTATGTTCCTCAATCCTCACAAGCAAGTCAATCTTCCTTTTAAGGCAGGAAAAATATCAAGATGTCTACCTAAGACAGGAAGGCAACTTGTGTCTGAAATTAACTTAAATGAAAGTATCTTCCTCTGTTCTACTTTTAAACATTATAAAATAAGGTTCAGATAATGAGCCTTGTTTTTACTCACTTCTAGGATATGGAAGTAAAAGTGACACTCAAGTAGAAAGAAAACCAGTATTTTGGGCTTTCCTATACAGCCCAACAATCCAACAACCATTGACCCTAAACTGCCTTTTAACTAATAGGTCTAAGGGTTCCACATGCCACAGAAACAAGTCAGGTTTGAAGTCACAAAACAGAAGTTGGTAAAGGGGATTATTAAGCTTCATAAATGACATCTAAAAGATGAATGCTATTATAAAACCAACATTATTACAAGGGCAGTGGTCTGCAAACTAATTTTTGTGTTCTTTTCCTTCCTTCCAACACTTTTGTAATAATCACTTATGAGGCAAGACATAGGAGCCTAAATGTTGTGGGGGGAAAAAAGGTGGGACTTTTACAAGCTAATTGCATATATATGTATATACACATATACAATCAATTCTCATCATTCACGTTAGTTATGTTCTATCAGTTTGTCAAAAACACTGAATTAGCAAATACTGAACCATTGCTCCTAGGGGAAATACAATGGGAGGTTCCTGTAAACCTCTGGTCACAACATTTTCATCAACCAATCAATACGTAATTTTGTTTTATGTGTCTCTGTTGAGACACCTTACTTAATATATACTGCTGATTCATTAACCTTGAACTTATGGCCAAGGGCACCATAATTCATAGCTGAACGAAGTTTATCTAATACATGTATTTCATTCTTAGGACATATCACAGCATTTCAGAACTACTTTTGGGGGCTATTTTAAACAGTTAAAAGCACCAAAAAAAAAAAAGCACAAAACTGCAGGACTAAACAGACCACAGAAAGGACACTTGTTTACAGCATGAGAGCTGACAGAGGCAGAACATTGCCTTACTTGACTTCAGCTGGGAACCTGCATCAGGCAACTCAAATTGTTCGTGGTTCTATGCATATTTGTGAGTGATTATGAGTAAGTATTGATTTGGGGGTTACAAATATATTTTGGCAAGTAGTTGAATTCACAAACATAGAATACATGAATGAGAATTGACTGTATGTATGCATATATATGTGTGGGTACATATGCATATATATAATTATATATAAATAACAGTCTACCTTTTTTTTTTTCCTGTTTAAGAGATGGGGTCTCGCTCTGTCACCCAGGCTAGAGTGCAGGGGCATAATCGTAGCTCACTGTAACCTCAAACTCTTGACCTGAAGTGATCCTCCTACCTCAACCTCCCGAGTAACTGGGATTACAAATATGAGCCACTGTACCTGGCCAATAGTCTACTTTTAAATATTATTTTCTTGTCACCTAGGTGTTTCCATACACACACACCATCAACTATAGTACCCTTGTCCTTTCAATCCCAAATGGACAGCACCAACCCAATGGCTAACATTAAGGGATAATGTCTAATAACCAACTGCTGATGGGACAGGTTCTTTTCTCTGTTAGGTATCTGAATTAGAGCAATCAACATCAATATAGCTGACCCTTGAACAAGATGAGTTGGAACTGTGTGGGTCCACTTATACTCGATTTTCTTCCACCACTGCCACCCCAGAGACAGCATGACCAATTGCTCTTCTTCCTCCTCCTCCTTAGCCTACTCAACCTGAAGACAACTAGGATGAAGATCTTTATAATGATCCACTTCCACTTAACAAATAGTAAATACATTTTCTCTTCCTTATGATTTTCTTAACAACACTTTCTTTTCTCTAGCTTACTTTATTGTAAGAATACACTATAGAATACATATAAACATACAAAATATGTGTTAATTGACTATGTTATAGGTAAGACTTCCAGTCAACAGTAGGCTATTAATAGTTAAATTTGGGGGAGGGGTCAAAAGCTATACATAGATTTTCAACTGTAAGAGGGGTCAGCACCCCAATGCCTACATTGTTCAAGGGTCAACTGTATTTTACTTCTCATGTTAAAGGAGTGTGTATTTCTATTTTTCTGGTATAATACTGTTTCTACGTTTTACCTGTATAGGCTTCAAAAGATCTCTGGACAGAAATACTCTTTGTTGATCTCCCAGAAAACGAACAGAAGTTATGGATCCCAAACCAGCTTTGTCCAACAGTGATTTGTACACCTGAAACAAAACAAAAGAAAATGTTTAGCATCGTAAGTGCTGTCAGCATAATTCTGAAAATATAATAAGAACTGGCAATTTTCCACGCATATAGAAAGTGACAAAGCCATTAAGTTTTTTATTTACTGCAAATTATCTCGTAACAACTATGCAGCCACAGATCACACAATTTTTATTCAAACCCAGTAATTTCAACCAGATGCATGTTTGAGAGTCATTACATATAGGTTTTGGGCCACACATCCATGCTTTCCCAAAAATTAATGCAGAAAATGTGCATATACATTTTTCAGGAAGACAGGGCCATATTTTTAACCAATTCTTAACAGCTGGAAAAAAAAAATATGAAGAGCAAAATTAACTTTAACCACAACTCTATAGCCCTCAAAAATCTCCAGCAGTTCTCACTTACAGGCAAAATCTTAACTTTGCTAGCACCACATGCAAGGCCCTTCACAATTCTGGTCAGCCTTTGATCATCCTCTCAGCCTTTCCAACTATCCAAATATGACCCTTCCTCCTTTAAGCTCCAGCTCTTGTCCCACAAAGCCTGAACTGTCCTCTCCAGACACAGTGATCACTCTTCTCTAACTGTACCAGATTTACAATGTGGATACAACACAATCATATATTGACTTACAGTATCTTTAGAGTCAAAAAATATTATAAGTCAAAGAGAACCTTAGTGATTAATAAGATCAAGGCTGAAAACCCTTACAGGGAGCAAGGCAACAGCTACTATTCAGCTCTAGCCTGTTGCTGCCATAAGGAACTGCCACAAGGCCCCAGCGTTGCCCTATCTTTCAGTTTTCAAGAAGACAATGGAAATCTTGATTTTTAAGACGTACTCTCCACATTTTTACAAATAGGCAACTAATTCAAATTTTCTGAAAACACTGCGAGGGCCAAACCAAACAGATCTGTATGTTTGCATGTGACTATTGATTTCTGACCTCTGACCTGGACATTGCCCACATTCCCTCTATCTCCATTTTTCTTTCTTTTCTTTTTTCTTTTTTTGAAGACAGACAGAGTCTTGCTCTGTTGCCCAGGCTGGAGTGTAGTGGCACAATCACAGCTCACTATAACCTCAGTCTCCTGGGCTGAAGTGATCCTCCTGCCTCAGCCTCCCAAGTAGCTAGGACTATAGGTGCCCACCACCATACCTGGCTAATCTTTTATTTTTTGTAGAGACTATGTTTCCCAGGCTGATCTTGAATTCCTGGCCTCAAGCAATCCTCCTGCCTCAGCCTCCCAAGGCACTGGTATTACAGGTGTGAGCCACTGTACCCACCCTGTTCCCATTTTTCAAGTGAAGAAAATGAGGCCCAAGAAAAGTTAAGGCACTCACACAGAGTCACAGAGTTCCTAACAGCACTGGCAAAAGATCCTAGGTGCTTTTCTGACTCTTCTGGTCTATTATTTCCCAGAGGGTCATATATAGGCATTACATATATATTATCCTTGTTTAACTCCTAATGGATGAAATGCCTCTTCTCATATATTCAATAAGCCCAAGTTTTACTCACTATTGCAGGCCACTGAACAATTCGTTCAGAAATTTCAGGAGATTTTCGTTCAGCCAAAACCAAGTTATGCTCTACTAAAAATGCTCTCCTGCGAAGGCTGTAGACGTCTATCCATCTTCTCTTCCTCCAAGATTCCCCATCAAACTCCACACACACCTAGACAAACAAAATTGAAAACAGCAGTTTCAATTAACAAAAGTAAACATTACAAATGCCCAAGCTGAATTTTACTCTTATTACTTTACTTGAATTTTTTATCTGGATGTGCTGTCCCCCTTCCAACTCCCAGCCCACAATAAAATAACCAGACATGAACCAAGCTTTGGTTCCCAAACCATTTGGAATGCAGAAGTCAAGGGATTTTGGGGCCAGTCTCTGTCTGCCAAGTAACCTCCTCTCTGAAGTCCAGAAACCAAAGAACCCCCACTTAGCAGGTTTCTATATATGTTAATTTGACATCTGAGCTTTGGAAATTGGAAGAAACAAATTTGAAACCCAAAAGAAGTATTTGCATTTTAATTCTTAGTTGACATTGTATGTGGGTTTAAAATGATCTCCTATCAACACAATCCACCATCTGCTTTTGAATTCTGGTAGGATTTAGAGCAAGGCCCAATATATGGCACATCTTCAATACACCTTTCAGTTGAATAAGCTGGGAAATTTACCTGAGAGTTTGGAGTCTAACACTGCTGCTTTGTTTGCTAAATATAGAAAAATGTTTAATAATATATGATCCCAGAGTTTTCCAGAACTACCTCCAGTTTCTTGTATGAAAGTTAAATTACCTTTGAAATATCGTTTTCCAAATAATTATAATGTATTTTGCTTCTCACCTGCAAAATACCTTCAACCCTAAGGCTACGACCCTCACAATTTATATAAATATTTTAAGACGAAAAATTCAACCCAAAAGTGGGTTTCTGGTAGGACACAGAATGGTTCACAAAACCTTAAAGGTCATATAAATGCACCAAACTCTCTAGCTAATTATGAACGTGCTAGGATTAATTTATCGTAGATCTTCTTTAATGCTTTTTGTATTTTAATGATCACAATAAACTTCCTCAATATTTGGTGTAAATAGCACTATTTTTATTTTATTTAATATTCTGGCCAGGCACAGTGGCTCAGGCCTGTAATCCCAGCACTTTGGGAGGCTGAGGCAGGAGGATCCATCAAGGCCAGGAATTCAAGACCAGCCTGGGCAACATCGCAAGACATCATATCTACAAAAAATTTTTAAAATTAGCTAGGTATAGTAGTCCCAGCTACTCAAGAGACTAAGGTGGGAAGATTGCTTGAGGCCAGGAGTTTGAGGTTACAGTGAGCTTTGATCACGCCACTGCAATCCAGGCTGGGTGACAGAACAAGATTCAGCCCCTTTAAAAAGTAAAATAAGACAAAATTCCTCCTCTTACTAAAGAGTTCTCTCATTTTGGTTTTAAGGAATTAGTTAATAAATCTACCATCCACCAAGTCTGCTCATAATTTCATAGACATCATTCATATAGTCCTTTTCAACCTGTAGTTTACACTAACTAGTTAACTTTCGATCATCGGTCAGAACCCAATTCAAAAATCCTTTCCTCAAAGAAACCTCCCCTTACCAAAGAGCCTCTCTCTCCCAAGGGAGGTCCATCCCCTTGCTAATTGTACTCAAAGCTTTGTACTTTTCCTTCCTAGCACTTATCCACATTTTGCATTATTTATTTGTGGTTAACGGATTGACATAAATTCCAATATTGTCAAAGTCTGTCTGCTCTTCCACTTACTATTGTATATCACTGGTATACAGTACCTTATCAGTACTCAAACGTTTGTTAGAATAAATGAATAAATTTCTCTCTGAATTGGGCTCCTATCCTGTTTCTCTCATCTACTTAGGAGGCAGTAATATACCACTAGCCCCAATCCCAAACTTTCTCTAGTCTACGGGATACGTCTAAAATCAATAAAATGTAACATTCCCTTCTTCCCCAACAAAACCTGCATCCCTAACTTCCCAGTCAACTTCACCTACGAAGCTACATATCTTCTTGGTATGGTAGGCTTTTAACTTTGAAGTTATTACTGAATACTTTCTAAATCAGAATAAATGCAAATATGTGAATACCTATGTGGCAAGGCTTTGTATACTACACCCTGGTTATATATTGTTCTATCACTGTAACCAACCAAATGGTCCTTCACAACAGTGTGCAGAGAGTGCCCCTCTTCTTTTCTGTTTCCCAGCCATGGAATCAAGATCCTCTGACAACTTTAAGTTGACTAGTTTTTCTGCCCCACTATTCACATTAACTTTAAACCCAACCTAGTTTTAGGTGACAAGAGTTTTCCCACCTATCAGCAACATGGTATAAGAGGAATGAGGATATACAAATTTCAGAATCAAAGAGATGTAGATTTGAATGACAGCTATATTGAAGTTTTAGAATGATTTTACACATATAAAATAAAATACATACAATTACAAAGGAAACCAATTAATCTGCAACCCAGGTAAAGAACTCTTGCTTAAGTCTAAGTTCTCTGAATCTTGTTTTACTTGCTTCAAAATGAAGGGAATACTACCTATCTCTCATTGAATTGTTAGGTATACTGTAAAAGACAATGTACATAAAGTACCCGGCAAGGCAACTAGGTAGTTTTAAGACTTCCATGTTAATTCAAATCTTAATTTATCAGGGTATCAATTCTTAAGTTAGGAGTGGGATCTTCACCATGGTTATATCTATTCAGCAAAAAAAAAGGGTGAAGGATTTAAGATCTTAAGTGGTTTCCCAGGACTTAAGCAATATCACAATTCTTATCAGAGCACTCTTTAACGCTTAAGATAACCCTAAACCAAAATTCGGACAGGGTCCCTTATTCATATCCAAAGTTTTGAGTGACTTTTTTTTCAAAAAAGTTTAGCTCCTTAAAATCAATTTAAGTTTATGACTTTAAAATATTATGTTGTGTCAGTCGGAGTCAGACGTGCTACTGTTGTGCCACAAGGTCCTAAACAAATTCACATTAACTTTGGTTTGAAAAAAGATCACTTTTTAAAAATAAATAAAATCAACAAGTTGTGAGCTTTCTTTAATAATTCTTTAAAAGTTTCCTATTAAAACCATGTATGTCTTTCATTTGTGCCTTGACGTCTGAGGTTTTATATTTAAGGACATTCGTCCCAAAGCGCCTCTTCTGCAGATATTTCTATTAAAAAAATTTAAATTCAGGAGAAACTAAAGTGACTTTACCAAACTCATGCAAGCTGATAAACTGTAACTATTAAATAGTTTCTAGTCCAAATATTGTTCTCTCCCCCATGTTCTCCTGGCCCACACCGTCTGACTGCAAAGGCCAAAAAGAGGCCAATTATGACTTACTACCTATAATTTCCAAATTTATTCTTCTTTCAAATAGGATATTTTACAAATGTGCACCTTATTAGCCTATCAAATACCTTGACCGGATGTTGGATGTTTCATATTAATTATTTCAAGCTAATTTTTCCCCAACAGAAAATCTCTTTATGATACATGAATATTATATTTAATCAAACTAATCTTAAAAATCTCCCACTCCTAGCATATACTCATCTCACCTGAGTATGTGATTATGAAAACCATCAGAAAAGCCAAGGGAAAAAAAGTTAAGAGCACAGAATGGCATGGTTTTTAGTCAGGAAGTTTTAATTACATGCCTACTCTATGCTCAGCACTACAATGCAGAATACCACTTAATTCACTATTCCACAAATTAAGAAATTAATTCATTATGCTTCTATTTATGTCTTCTTACATCTAAATAAAATGCTTGTCTAAAATCCCAGAGTCTAGCTTTCATTTATAAGGGGTAAACAATTTTTATTACACCGTGCTAGGAGTTCCTCATTTTACATGGCTTGACTGGCAGCAGAACCCACCAACATTCAAGCTCCAATTGTATGCAAGGATGAAAGGCTAGGCATTGGTCAAGGCACCCAATTGCTGACAATAGCAGGAAAAGGTATATATAGATGGCAAGGACTACTTATCTGCCAAGTACACTTCTAAGGACTAAGAAGGGGCAGAAGACTCAAGGAAAAGGTAATTTTAAAGGAAGAGATAGACAAGTTAGGGAAGGAGGGCATTCCTAGCATACATAATTATGTGTACACAATCAATTAGGAAACAACTTGCTTCATACTCAAGTAGAAAGAGTAGAATAAAAACAAGATTAAAGAAGTCCCTATAACCACATCTAACTAAGATCTGTAGTCACTGCAGATGAAGAGAATGCCACTGCCCTATCGGATTATTTCTAAACTGTTTCTCCATAATAAAAGTAATAATTTTATGACCCCTTCATCTATTCATTCAAATATTTGAGCACATACTACATGCCAAGCAGTGTTCTAGGTGCTAGGGATACAGAGGCTAGCAAAATAAAGTGCTCTAACCTCACTCTACCTGAATATTAAAGCCTGTGTTTAAGCTCTGGAGACAAACTTGGACAAGTTATTTAATTTCTTTAAGTCTCAATTTTTGACACTAAAAAAATGTAGTTTACCATCTAGGATATTTGTGAGGATTAAATGCCACATAATAACCATTGAATCATTATTATCTATTGTTATAGTGTCTTCACCTTCTTTGTAAGCAACTACTAGACATAGTGTCTTTTTGTTACCTAAGTAACTGACTTTGTTACAGTCTCTGTCTAGGTGAAACAAAGTTAACAAGCCTTGGCCTCATTTAATATCTTCCATAACTACGTAACTATGGAAGCAAGCCAGTCTAAGAGACTTGTATTTGTACTAATACTAGAAGAACAGCTGCATACTACTTGAATTTCATTTATTCATATTCATGTCAGCTGCCAGCCCAGTGTCCCCCAGAAACTTAATGCCCCTAAGCCGAGGTGTAAGCATGGTCTTACTTACTTTGTTTCTGCCTACATTTCACCAAGCAAGCACTGATTTTAGTGTTTCAAAATCCTATCTTTTGTTAAATACAGTATGGTCCCTAAACTTAAGCCAGTTACTTCATCTGCTACTCAACTAAGGAATACAGGGATAAATCATGATTTAAAAAGAGAAACAGAGTAGACTGGCACCTCACATGAGGGCTGAGTTGTGAACTCTGCAGGTAAGGCAAAAATCCAACCTAGCCAAAATTGTTCTTGAGTTGAAATCCTAGTTGTCTTCCAATTAGGCACCAAAGTGCATGGAGAAGACACACAGCAAAACCTGGATTCAAATCCTCCTTCCATCACTTAGTAGCTAATTATACAAGTCTGGTCAAGACTCCTTTTCCCAAATGTATTTCCTCATTCTAAAAAAAGATATCACCACCTCCTCAAAGGTTGAGGAGGGCAGGGAGATGTGGAAATAAAAAAAAAAAAAAAAAACATAAAAAGAACCTCCTAGATTTCTTGCCTAACCCAAAAGGTCCTCAATCACTGCCAGGGAAGAGAAGGGAACACTTAGTCTCTCATTATCTGCCAAAGAACTAAAGACTGTAAAGTTTAAATAAAATCTTGTTTTCATTCAAATCAGATAAAAACAAATGCAAATAAAATTTTACTTGGTAGGTGAAATAAACCACAACAACCATGATTGAAATCTAGTACACAAAGCCCATTTTACATGGAAAGGTTATTAACCTAAAGCAAATAGATTGGTCATCCCTGCATCCGAATACATTATCTCTATAAACATCAAAACCTGATTTGGTAGAATAAGTGGAATGGGAAAAAAACCAAACCTCACAGTGTATGACAGAAGCCGTTTTGTGGCACAGCTCTTGATCACAGATGTAATGGTTGAGGGTAGCTTCTGAAGTAAAACTTCCTGGATTAGACAGAATACAGGCTATGCCAATTCCCAGATATGTGACCTTAGGCAAGCTACTTAATATCCCTCGGGCACAGGATTTTCATCTGTAAAATGGAGAAAGCAGTAGTACCTACTTCCAAGATCTGCTCTAAGAATTAAATAAAATCACGGCTGTGAAGTGCTTTGCAAGATGCTTGGCATGTGCTCAATGGTCATTCCTCCTTTTCAACGTGAAGACAAGACACACAAACCTGAAAAATATATAACCACATATCCTTTTCCTACAACCTTTTGTAGACTAATACTATTTTGGGCATGCACTGTCACTGTGAAAATGTTCAAATGAACAGTGTTTCAGAAATCAACACATCTTCAACTGTCAATGCTAAAACTTGCTTCCTTTATTTGAGCAGTTTTCAAGAAAAAGCAAAGAAGATGACTGAGTGAAGATACATTCATTACCCAGAGTGTAAATATCTTCTGTTCTGACAAGCTTCCTTCAAATTATCACCACTTTGGAGTCTTTGTTAGAAACCTTTTTTATTTTTGCACAAAGGAGTCTTTGTTGGTATAATGGCTTCCTCACTGGTTGTTCCCAGACAATCCTTTCAAACCAATACTTCTATTAGAAAGCACAATCAGAATTCATCTCTTTGAAGAGATCTAACAGAAAAAGGTTCCAAGTGTCGTTCTGATTTAAAAAATCACTGGCTGCACTGTTCCCATTTCTCTCCCTCCCCTCAAACATCCAAGTGTGATATTTTGAAGCCATTCCTCCAATACACCATATATGGTGCAGCTCCACCCCATCCCTCCATATATGGTCATATCCCACACCCACCCACGGACTCATGAGAGACAACCAGGAACCCAACCCTGCCCTGACCCTCCATATACGGACAAATACCCACCCTAAACGCCAAACAGAACTAAGCTCCTCCCTCTACACTCACTTCATTTTTGACAAGTCTGCAAGTTTTTTCAAAAAGTTGAGTGGAGAAATCAAGAAGTACAAACAAACAAAAACGCATCTGAAAGTACTTTCAAGCACTACCCCTCAATTATTTATGATTCCAAACGTCACCCACTTGCCCAACCTAATACCAATAATAACATTATTCCTTTTGTAAAAATAATCCGACAGCCCTAGTGAGGCACAGCACCGGCATTATTGAAGCCTGTCTAAACAACCCTAAGCCCATTATTAAACCCAGGCAGCCAGGAACTCTAGGCCAAACACACCTCGGCTCTACACAACCATTTCAAAGGCTTTCAAGGTCTAGTTTTCTGCACCTTCAGATCAGATGCCAACTTTCTGGTCGCCAGTTTTCAGAAAACGGAGGGAGGGGACCGACTGTCGCGTTACCAAGGTAACTGCGAAACGTCCGGCTGCCGAGGCCCGGGAGCCGTTTTACCTTCAGATCTTTCTTGGTAACATCAGTGTGGGAGACAGCTCGAATGGTCCCGGAGTGCCAGGGCCACTCGGCGACGCGCTCCACGTCCCAGCTGTCGTGGCCGCCTTCACTGCCGTCGGCTACGAACAGACTGAGGAATCGCTTCCCCACCAATACCGGCCAACTTTCTCCGAGCGTGAGCACCATGGTTTCCACGCCTGCAGGAAGGGCTCCTCCCTGCCAAAACATAAAAACAAAATGCGATGGGGGCGGCCGGTGGAGGGGGGGAGCAAAGAAGAGACGGCGGGGGAGGAGGGGTCCTTGCCCTGCGCCGAGGACGCGACCCCAGGTGGACCCCGCACCCGAGCCGTCCACCCGCGCCCTCCCCGCCCCCCAGCTCCCTCCCCCACCGCAAACACGGGCCCAAACGCCTCGTGACCCTCGCTCTCCCAAGTTTCGCTTTCCTGAAACCTTAAACCCAAATGCAGAGGGAGTGAGGGGAGAATTATTTGAGGCTCAAGTAGATTTCAAAGTGTTCATTCCTCACCCCGGAAAAGAAAAGGCCCCCAACGCAGAGGGCCTGTCCCGGGCGCCCGAGTCCCCGCCCCAAGCGGCCCCGCGGGGAGGGTGGGCGAGCCCGCGATTCCGCACTTGCCCCAGCGCCCCGCCCCGGCACCCCGAATCCCTGCCGCCGACCCCCGGGCGCCAGTCCCCAGGGCCTGCGCAGCGGCGGCGGGGCCGCGCGCTCGGTGCCTTCACCTTTCTTCCTCCTCTCCCCGCAGCCGAGGCCGCGGCGCTCTTACCCCGCCTCCCGCCTCCCTGAGTCACCGGCGACGGCCGCCGTTTCAAGCCGCCCAGCCGACTCTAGCTCTGACTTGGTTCAAGAGCTCTCACAAGACACGCACAGCCTCCCGGGCCCGCCCCCTCGGAGCCGCTTCGGCAGTTCATTGGCTGAGGCACAGAAGCTGGGCGAGGCTTGTGGGGAAACAGACCATCACTATTGGCCGGCCTAGCGAGGGCGGGGCGAGAGAAAAAAAACAATTCCTTGGCTGCCTCCTCCTTTTACCCTCCCCCTTCCGACTCCCGGGCGACCCCCATTAGGTTAAAGTACACAGAGAGTAAGCGAGAGATCCCTCCGCCACAGGCCTATTCTTTCCATTTATTGCCTCACAATATACAAAAAAGTCCCGCGAAATCGGTTATCAACTTTGAGGACCGGAGGAAAATTGCCGTGACGCACAGATAATACTGAATGACGAGACCCTAGGCTGGAAGTGGCTATTGGATTGCTCTTCAAGTGCGTAGGCTGTCGACCGAAGATGGGCCTTCTACTTGGCGGAAGAATCTCACAGGAAGGAGTGAGACCGAAGCAGAGTCTTTGGGGGGGAAGGGAAGGGAACGTGCGGTTTCAGGCGTACTCAGTTAGAGGGAGGAGCGACAGTGCTCTGGAGGCTCGTGCGCAGGCGCTTCTCGGAGTAGGAGCTGGAGCTGGGGCTGCTGGGCGAAATGGCCGCGGGAGGCGGGGCTCACGTGGTGCTGATCATGGAACGTCTAAAGTCCGCCATTTTGAAGGATAAATGAAGAAAGGTATGGGTCATTGGCAAATGATGTTAATTAAATCTAAAAGAAAAGAGGCCATTCAGTACAATGTGGAATTTTTTTATGTAAAAGGGGGAGGAGAAGATATTCTGAGAATTACAAAGAAATTGAGAGACAGAGCTATGAAGGCTATAATGAATGATGCAAGAGATATGAAAGAGGTGACTTTGAAGGACAAAGGAGATAGGTAATTGTGTGCTTTGGATCTGAAGTATTTTGGTTGGATGAAGAATTGGAATGAAGGAATCGAAGACGTCTTTAAAGCCTGGTGCTTGAGACTGCATCACATTTAATCTTTAAGATAACAACTGAAGAACTCATGCTCCCAATTTTACAAATGTGAGAACTCAGAATCAGGAAAAAGTTCAGAAACCTATTTCAGGATTATAGAGGCAAATTAACTCCAGGTATTGATTTTAAATACATGTTCTGAATATGTGACCTTAAGTTTTTAAAGTTAGGAATAACAGTGAAGAATTAAATTGGATTTATAATTTGCAGACCATTAAAGGGGTGGGGAGGAGGGACAAAGAAAACCTATGCAGTTCAACAAAAGGCAGAAATGGGAACAAGAAAAGCAAAAGAAACTAGAAGAAAGTATGGTAAATAAAATGAAATAAAATGAGAGGAGTAAGTACAATAAATATAAATGGGTTAATTTCACTCATTTAAATTTAAAATGACAGTTGAGATTAAAAACAAAGTTAAAATTGATTTCTCCATTAGCCAGGAAGGATGTGTAGAGGTTGACATACCTAGCAAGGACAGTAACTACCAGAGCTTACAGAATGTTGACAAAACCTTAGATTGGCCAGGTGGCTGCAATTTCATATTGTTGGAGCATTCGTTGTATCCCTGGGGATTGCAGCTCTCTATATGTTTGCTGTGGCTGAACCAAGAAAGAAGGCATATGCTGATTTCTATAGAAATTATGATTGTGTGAAAGATTTTGAGGTGGCAGGGAAAGCTCATATCTTTCAGAGTACAAAGTGATTTTGGGAATTTAAAGAATTTCTTTGGATTGAATTACATGTAAATTTTTCACTGACATGTGTTCCTAGCTATGAATATGTGGGCTAAGGAATAGTTTCTCTTGATAAATAAACAATTAAGAAATTTTAAAAATTCAGCCATAAATTGATCACAGGCAAACTGTGATGACACAGAAAAATTGAAAATATTGGGCTAAAGAATTTTAATTAAATGGTATTCAAAGGAAAGCAATATAGCAATATTAACATAATTGAAAGGAAAAGCATGAAAAGAGAAAGGATTTTATATTAATAAAGGACAAAGTCCATTAAGATAACATGTACTCCTGAACTATTATGACTCTGAAACCATAGCATAGCCTAAGCTAATACTATTAGAAATATGGGAAAGTTTCCACAGTTTGTAATCAGAGTAGAAGATATAAATACATCTATTCCAGAAATAGACACCATATAGATTAAAAACTAACTGATAGTATGAAGGACTTAGATTATATAATTAATATAATTAATTATAATGATTAACTATTAATTTGAAAAACAGTTGCTAAAGAACAAGTTCTACCAAACCTCAAGAAACATATAATTCCTGTGTTGTATTCGTGGTT